CGCAAGTCCAGCTGCCACGAACTTTTAAGGTGCATATGTTCAGGGGTTTTGTATGACAATGTACCTACTTACCTGGCAGCTTTCCTAAAGGGCTGCATTAGGGGATGATTTAGGCCAAGCACCCCCTTCACTACAGGACACCCTTCCAAGTGATGAGACCGAGGCACATAGGGAAAAACATTATGAGATGGGCCATGCAAAAATAGTATGTGAAAGTTTGAAGGAAAAAGGTACTGTGGGTGAAAGTCCAAGAAAACAGTCATTTGTAAGAGCACTCTCACCACCCTCTCAAGTTAGATCTCCAATGAAGGCTGCAGAACAACCCCCATGGATTGATCCACAAACTCAACATTTGCCACTTCATGAGAATCTTATGAAACAGTTTGAAAACAATGACCAACGGACACCTGACAAAGGTTTGGATGATACCGACTTTAGCAGTGACTTTTCCGATCGTGAGAAAAAGAAACCGAACAGGAAGGAAAATTTGAAAAGGAGGTCATCTGCCAGTGAAGTTAGTAATGTTAGTCTACTCAAGGAGGACCAAACACCGGTATTGGTTGGCCCTAATAAGAGTGCCTTAGGCTCAGGTTCTAAGAGGCCATCTTGCAATGATGTAAACTCAGGGCCCACAAAGGTCAGTGCTTGTCATTATATTGTGACTGCATCGTATGTGCTTTGCAGCTAATTACTTGTAATTTCTTGTTCGCTTTCCAGAAAGTAAAAGATGATGGTGCAGTTTGCAACTCGACTTTCAATACTATGACTACTGCAATAACCAAGGTATGCAACCACATTTGTGTTCTCTGTAAAAAAAAATTCTGTATTGGTGGAAAGGCTTTGGCAATCTTACAGACTTGAGTAACCAGTGGAATTTACTTCATCTGCTGTTTTGAAGTTTTATTAAAAATGATCCTAGCTGTAGTTGTTCATTTCTGTGTTAGGATAGCTTCAAAGCTTTTCAAATTTTGGGTATATATGTTTCTTTTGATCAAAAGTACCCCTCCACAATATTTCAGAATTCAGATTGTAGCTGCGGTAGTAATTACATTGATCTGTGCAAGAGACTGGAGACAGTTGAAGTGGCTTTGAATCTGGTATCCACTTCAAACAAGAAACTGTTTGGTAAGTTTGCGTTCAGCTTGATTTCCATACCCACTTATTATGACTACATTATTGACTCTTCCTTTCAGATTTAGTATCCAAAATGTACAACACTGGGAAGAAGTGCCGCATATCTCAACTGGAACGCGCAGTGGAGGGGTATGACGACATACCAGTCCCTGATGATTGTGTTAGTATCACCTTCTCTACCCAACTTTTTCTAATAGATAACAGCAGCAACCATTGGACATTTTTGGATAATTGAATTGTTATGCACAGGTTCTTGTCGGTGAACTGAATGGATCTATGCAATTCCTCTCAAAAGAGGATATTGTGACAATGGAAAAAAAGAAGACTTCCTTGAAAGGTCGGATATTAGAATTGGGAAGGCTTTTTTATGGAGATAACTACTATCTATACAGCCTTGTAGGAATAAAAAATAAAATAGAAAAAACTTATGAGTTTAAAATGGAAACACCTCATATTACTGCTATAGCTAGTAAGTAACTATCGCATCCAGTATATAGAGTGTACAGCTAAAACTTGTAATAGTACTGTCGGATCAGTGGACTATCCCCCTGTTTAACAAACTTTTCTTTGTTACAGAAATTCTGCAATGTCTCCGCTGGACCAAGTCTGAGGACCTGTCTAGCTCAAACATAGGAAGAATGATGGGGAAGTATTTTTCCGAAGCAAGGAAAGTGGTAGAGAAGGCAGAGGAAGAGAGGCAGATGAAGGCGTTCCATGCTAGTCAGCAAGCAAAGTCTGTGGACCCCAAAAAGAATAGTGATGATAGTGATTCAAGCAATCAAAATGAATAGGTCGACCTTCAAGGCATCTGTGTTACCGTATTAAAATCAGCACAGCTTTGAAATTTATTCTGTTGTTCTATTTTGATTCTTTTTAAATATCTTTATAAT